AAAAAAAAAAAAAATCCAAACAAACAAACCCATTGCCATGAGTCTACTACCATGTGGCAAACAGAAGTCCAAAAAGAATAAGCAGGGAGCTAACAACCTTGTAGGAGAGAAGGTGTGTACGCAAATAGCTATTATACCAGGGGGAAAGGGCCGGGGTCCTAAGAGACACACCGGGGAAGGGGAGAGATCATGTCCAACTGGAGCAATCAGAAAAGGCTTCCTGGAATTGGGGATAAATGAGCTGGGCCTGCAGGAATAGGTAAGAATTAGATTTGTGGGTTTGTGGGATTCAGGGAAGGCAGCAGGATATTCTGAGCTGCAGGAACTGCAAGAGGAGTTTACCCAGTTTGGCTAAAGCATGGGGTACAGTAAGGGGAGGGTAATAGTAGAAAGTCAGGTTGGGAAGGATCATTGGGGCTAGCTGGTGCTGAGGCCTTGAAGGCCAAGCCTGGTTGGATTTCTCCTTACTGTGGACAGAACAGAACAGTTGACAAAACAGAACAGCTTTCTGCACAGTTGATTGTGAGGAAGGGGACACCGGCAGCAGTAGGAGGGTAGGGGGGGCAGAGTAGATGTACTGCCCAATTTTCCAGTCACAAAACTTGATGTGCAGTCCCCAGCCTTCATACCCTGTTAAATGGAGGGGAAGAGCTAGGCGGTTGCTGCATTCGTGTTTAGGATACACCTAAGACAGTGCAGAGGCCATGAGCGCTGGGGTAGCGGAGAGTATGGGAGAGATAAGCAGAGATGTAGCTAACAGCATCTGGCACTGATTGGATGTAAGGAGCAGGGAAAAAGGAAGCACTGAAACTAGTTCTGAGCTGACAGACAGGGGAGGTGGTAGTCTGGACCTGGAAATACACACAACAGGGTCCAACTGGAATCTCATGATTCCATTGCCAAAGCTTGCAGATACATGACTCTATGAAAGCAATTATCTTCCTACTCTGTTTGCATGCCTGTCTGTCTCCCCCATCTCCTGGTTGGCAAGTTCCATATATTTTTATCTCTGTATACTCAACACTTAACCTGGAACCTAGCACATAGCAAGCATACAATAAATAAATGCAGAAGGAGGAAAGAAGGGAGGGGAGAAATGAATGAATGATAGCATCTTTCAAGTTTTGCCTGTAGGATTCCTAAACATGAGGCCTTATATTTCAGAACCTTTGGGTGCCCTTTTGGGGTGAAGGGGTCTTCCTTGTAATGCCTGTAGGCAGAGAGTTGTGTCATCCACATGATGGGAGAAGATGGGAAAGGTGTAGGAGGTGGAAGGCTCTGGAAGGGGAAGAGGAGTATTTGGGCAAATAAATAGTTAAGGCTGAGAATTCAAATTATCACCATTGGGACACAGGAAGCCCAGGGTGGAAAGGGGGAGTGTGCTGTCACATTATAGGGATTGTAACTAGTGTCACATAACAATATGTGTATAAATTTTTGTATGAGAAATTAACTTGAGCTGTAAACTTTCACTTAAAGCACAATTTAAAAAAAAAAAATTATCCTCCATTGGTTGTTATACAGCAACAGGGATGCACTGGGCTCCCATGAAAATGAGGTTAATTTTATTAACAAGAGTGCTTGGGAGGGCAGCTTTCCTGTTCCCTATCCCAGAGGAACAAGAGAAGACCTGAGGACCTACCTGCGGGGCTGCTTGCAGCCACCTGTGATATTGCTCTCTCTGCATCATTCTCATAGTTCTTCTTATATGGCCTAGTATTATGGTTGTTTGTAATGTAATGATTTCTCCTATAAGATCATGCTCTCCTCAAGGGCAAGGGACACTTCTTGGCTTTCTTTGTCTTTGGAGCTATTATTGAGCTGTACACACTGGTATGGCTGTACCAACTGTCAAAATATTGACACTTCCATTTGAGCTGCTCCAGTCACCCCAAGTGCCTCTCTGAAGCCCCATCCATGCTAGTACCTCCCCTCGGTCCTCCCTATGATCTGGCAACTAAAGTGGTAACTCGTGGCAGAGCTGGGGTGCTGCAGCCGGCATCCTATGCTGTGTTAGTCATTCAATAGTCTGAACGTCACCCCTGTTATATCCTTCTCAGCTTCTGTCAACCCCTGGTTGGTTGACTTCACCTGCCCTGAAATATCCAGCTTCTCTTAGTCTTTTCTCCCCCCCACACCTACTTCCTATGAAAACTCACCAGGCTGGGCTGGCAGCACCTGGCAGTGTGGGTAAGGGCATGACCTGCCCTCTGTGGTGTCAGGACTCCTTTCGGAAGGCCCCTCATCGGGTGGGTGTGGCCCCGGGGGTCGGCGTGGAGTCAGACACAACCACACTGGCTGTGAACTTGAGTAACAGGGGCCTGGGGTTTCTGGTAGAAGCCTCCTATCCAGGCCCGAAGGTCTGAAGATCAAGGGGTGGGCCTCTGGGGACCAAGGGTATGCCAGGCTGGGGCCATAGTGGGGAAACATCCGGCAAGCTGGGTGCGCAGTCAAGTCCTGGGGCCGAGAGACTGGGGTGGGCTCTAAGGGACCCCCCCGCCGTTTCCTCTGTGGGTGTCGGGCAGGGAGGCTGGATTTCTGCAAGCTGAAAAAGGCGCTGGGAACGGGGCCGGGGCTGGAGGCTTCAGCTGGGCCAGGGGCTGGCTCCGTGAGGGCCTTAGGCCATTGTGGGTTGGGGAGCTGCCCTGCAGGGGCTGGTGAGCTGGATCTGTCCGCTTGCTCATCAGGAGAAGGGGGCTCCAGCTGGAGCTGTGTCCGAGGAACAGCAGGCCTGGACTGGCGGGGCCCCGTTTCTGGGCCAGCCTTCCTGCCATGCCACTGGAACCGCTTCTTGTAGTGGTGGTGCCGGTGGCGGTGGTAGTGGATATGGCTAGAGATCTGGGTTTCCCCTGAGGGCACGACTGAGTCCAAGGACCGGGGACGAGAGGCCACACTAACATGTGTCTCCTTCCTCTGGGGCTCCCCTTCAGGGCTGCAGTAGACCAAGGGGTCAAAGTCACTGCTCAGAGAGCTGCGGAAGGTAGAACTACTGCCGTGGATGCCCTGCAGGCTGATGTCTGTGCAGTTGACCACCGAGTCACTGGAGGAGCCATGGCAGGGCCCTGAGCTGGAGTCACTGGCTGGTCCATCTGCCAGGTAGCCGCTGCGTTCCGTGCAGTAGCTTTCCCCAGACCCGCTACTGTCGTGAGGCCTGGCCCGGCGCGGGGGCACTGGGCAAGCGGCAGGGTGCTTCGAGGTACATCGAAGCCTGCTCAGCCCCCAACCCTGTGCATAGGGGAGCTGGGCCACCGCCAGGCGCTGCTGCTCGCCCGGAGGCCGGGGATGTGCTGCTCTAGGGAGGCGGTGGTGCCGAGGACCTGTGCCAGGCTCCTGGGATGGCAGGAAGGGACCAGGTTGTGGGGGCCGGGCCACCGAGCTCTGTGAAGGGCCCAGCAGGTAGGCAGCAGGGAAGTGATAGTGGGCGTGACCAGGATGCTGGCGAATGAGGTGGAGTCTCCGGCCTGGTTCCTGGTAAGGTCGAGAGGGTCCCAAGGGCTGGGAAAATGAATCGCCCTCTGGAAAAAAGAACCAAGAGTATGGATGTCTGACTCCACAAATCTATGGAGGACACATTCAGAAAGGTGTGGCTAATAGCTAACCTATTTGATCCTATACGGCCTATGAGGTCAGTCAGAGTTTGGGGGACCAAGGACATCCCTAACCTGCATGTGCCCTGGGACTCCCTTCCTTCCTCCCTCCAGCCAAGTCTGTCTGTCCTGGGAGTTCCACTATATGTGTCAATTTCTGTACGACCACCACCCAGCTGGGGTTCTTTCACTCAGGGCCACTGCTAGGCCATACTGCACCCTTAGGTAAATTAGAAAAAGGTTCTCTTTCTTCAAGATACTTCACTTTCATCTTTTAGAAAATTGTCATAGTGATTTTATTAGGATAGGATATTTACTGCTAGAAAATTGGAATAATAAATATGCAAATACCTCAAATTTAGAATCAACAAAGTTATCATAAAAATACAAATAATTTAAAAAATAATAAGGATGTCTGTGTACAGTGTGAATGGCTCCCCTCTCAGACAATGCACTCTTGAGCAGTGCCCAACTTAAACAACGACAGTGGCAGCTCTGGTTTTTCCCTCAGCTTCAAGGCAGAAGCCCTTTCCCAGAGAGAAGCCACGTTCTAAACCCATCTGCCTGTCCATAGGGGAGTCTTTGGCCCACCTCCTACCTACGATGTTGAACATGCAGAGAGGGCAAGTCCGATGCTGATGTAGCCAGGGGTCCACGCAGGTGCGGTGGAACTCGTGGAGGCAGGAAATGATCCGTAGCTCCTGGAGAAAACAAGCGGGTCCAAACCAAAGGTATCTGTAGCTACAAGAGTGGCCAGGAACCAGGATATCCCCCTGACTCCCTCTGGCCTTTCCCTCTTGCTATAACCTACTTGTAGGAGACCTCACGATAGACTAGATAAAGTATGGGCTTTGGTATCAGGTAGGCCTAGATTTTGTCAGTTAGCAATATGACCCTGGGCAAGTTTCTTAACGGACAGTTTTCTGTCTGTAAAACAAGGATAAAAAACGAATCTCCCCCACCCCACGCTGTCATGAGGCTAACATGAGATAATGCATCTAAAGCACCCACTGCAGAACCTGCCCATGGTATACTCTCAACAGATAACAAACAGTTCTCTTTCTCTAGGCCAGAACAATTACTAAAGCCTCAGTGCTCTCCCCTCCTTCTTCCTCATGCAGGATACATAGGATATGGAGGCAGATAAGACAGCCACAGCAGCCCTGAGTGCCCCCTCCCAAAGCTGCATGCATCCTCTCCAGCCTGGCCATGCAGGTGAACCACAAACCCTGCCTTACCTGCCCCTCAGAGAACTCCTCCAGGCAGATGGCACACATGGGGGCTGAGCTGCAGCTGCTATTTGAGTCTGGCCATTCAGCCTGGGCCCTCCTGCAGCTGGCTTGGTACCTCCTGGTAGCCAGTTGGCTGATGGCCCAGGCTGTTCGCTGCTGAAGGGGCTCCTGGGAAGAGAGGTAGGGCTCAGAATGGGGCAAGGCCTCCTCTTGCCTCAACCTGGAGCCCAGCTTATACCTGGTTTCCAGTCACCCAGTTAGATCACATGGCCAGTTAACTACCCCTGGGAGTTTGTCCCATCGGAGCACATGCATGGCTCTACCAAGCAGGCCAAGCCCTCCCACTCCACCTCCAGCTCATACCATTACACTTTCCTGCCCTTGATGACTGATGAGAGAAACTTTTTGTCCAATTGCTTGCTTAACATCTCAACTTGGATGTCTAACAGGCAGGTCAAACTTTCCATGTCCAAAACTGAACTCCTGATTCCATTAACCACCCCTAACCACACACCTGTCCTCCCCAGTCTTCCCCTTCCCAATAAATGGCAATTCCATTCTTTTAATTGCTCAGGCCAAAAATCTTGATGTCATCCTCCATTCCTTTCTCTCACACCCCATGATTAATCCATTAGTAAACCTTTAGGCTTTGCCTTCAAAATATACCCAGAATCTAACTTATTTCTCACCACGTTTACTGTTACCACCCTAATCCAAGCTACCATTACTTTTACCTGGATTCCTATGTTAGCCTCCTATCTGGTTTCTCTGTTCCCATCCTTGCCTCCCTGTAGCCCATTGTCTTTACAGAAGCAAGAGTGATCGTGGTCAAACTCAAGTCAGGCCATATCATTCCCTCTACTCAAAGCCCTCCAATGGCTCCCATTTCACCCAGAGTAAAAAACAAAGTCCTGACAATGGCCCAAAGAGTCCAATACAACTTGGCCTCATGAGCTCTCCATCCTCGTCTCCGACTCTGTCCTCCCCCTCACTCTATCCTAACCACACCACTTCTTGCTGGTCCTTAAACACATCAGGCACACTTCTGCCTCCAGGCCTTTCACTTACTCTTCTCCCTACTTCGACTACTTTCTCCCCAGAGATTTGCCCAGATCACTCCCTCACCTAGCTCGAATCTCTGCTCTGATGTCATCTTCTCAATGAGGCCTTGCCTTTAAAAATTAATACTTTTCCCCTTTCCTATTTTATCTCTCTCCCTGGCACCTACCACTATTCAAAATACTATACATTTTACTTATTTGTTTTGTTTATTGTCTGTCTCATCCTACTAGAATAAAAGCTCCTTGAGGGTAGGGATTTTTATCCCTTTTAATCACTGCTGTATCCTCAACACCTAGAGGAGTGCCTGGTACATAATGGGAACTCAGGATGTTTGTTGAATGAATGAACAAATGAGCAAACCTATGGGGAGAGGCTGCTGGAAATCAACAAAGACAGATGCAGGAGTATTTGGAGGTAAACTGTTTCATGGGCATAAAGGCGCCTTCCTTACTCATTTTCCCTTCCTGCTCCCATTCTCCCACAGACATACACACGCCCATCTCCACCAGGGAGCCTGCACTGCTCACCGGCCTGCTGTGGCGGGGGCAGCACTGGATGCGCAGCACTGAAGCCAGGATGACCACAAAGATGATACCCACCACGGTCAGAAGGATCCACACATCATAATCTGGCTGGGAGAGCAAGCAGAGAAGGAAAAGGGTCACAGCTCTGGAGGGAGCTGGGCCAATTTGGGAGGAAACACAGGAGCCCAGGAGACACACAGAGAGCTGGAGATCTCCTTGGGTTTTCCAGCTGGGGGGCTGCAGTGGGGATGAATCTGGGGTGAGGTTAGGTGGCCCCTCTCTGCCCAGAAGCAGTCATAGGAGAGAGCTCTCCGGATATCAGCTGTTGGAAATACTATCTGAAACCCAGGTGCTTGGGAAAAAGGGGGGAAGAGACCCCTCTGTGGTGGGAGTTACCCACTGAGCGGCTGGGTGAGTGGAGAACCACTAGCCAGGGTTCAGGGCCTGGGTTTCATTCTGTCTCTGCTCCTCCATACCAGGGAGCCACAGAGCTGAACACAGCTTTAGAACTCATCTGGCCCAATTTGTTTTGAGGCACACAACTGGATTTTTGAAGGAGCTCTCCCTCTCCCTCTTGGAACAAGAGGATTTCTAAGGTCTCTGTCAGCTCCAGGGGCCTAAGGGCTTTGGGTGGGAGTTTCCACGGGACAAAGGTAGGGGTGAGAGTGGGTACGGGGGAGAGTCTGGAGATCTGCATGCTTACCCAGGCCAGGGGCTCCTTAAGTTCAATCCTCACGTGGGCCTTCCGGTTCTTGTACACAAACTCCATCAGCTTCTCGGCGTCGTTGCCCCAGATCAACACCACTGGCCAAGTCAGCCCCAGGGGCTGCTGCAGCTGCAGAAGGGACAGTGTCCAGAGGAGCTGCTGTGTCCTGACTTCTCCCTCCCAATTAACTTTACCTTCCTCCACCCTGTCCCTTCCTCAAATACCCCAAGGTACCTGTTCAGCAGCAGCTCGATCCTCGGTGATGTCAAAGAGGACAGCGCTGGCTCCTCGCTCACCCGCCATCCGAGCCTGCAGGGACACACAGCAGAGGTTTGGCTGGGGACAGGGAAGAAGACAGCTCATCCATGCCCCAGCCTCACCCCCATGCATCCACCCCTTCCTGGGATTTTTCACACACTGGAACTCTGTACACTCACATATACACGTGCAAGGGGTCAGTGGGACTAGGATCCCCCTGCCCTGCCCCCAAGTTCACCAAGGTCCTATTGCCTTCAGAGAACAACATCCAGTCCTTTATTCTGTAATGGCACAAACCCTCAACAAGAGTTTCCTGGGTGCCAACTACTGGTCTAGACTCTAGGGCCAAAGAAAATAAGAACAGTCCCTGTCCTCAGGGCTCCATCAGTCTGCCTTGGCTAAGAGATGTGAGAACAGAGAGTAGGGACACAGCAGTACCCCCCCACCCCCACCCCGGGAGCAGAGAGTGACCAGTCCCTGGAACAGAGAGGGAGAGGAAGAGAGCTCCTTCAGAATAGAGCTGGGCTTTCCAAAGGCCAGCCCTGCCTGACAAGAGGAGCCTGTGTGGGGCTTCCCCCCAGCTCAGGCTACATTCCAAGAGCCTGGGACGCTGCTGTCACCCAAGACCTCTATGGTAGAGGCCAGCCTCAGCCCATCTTATTGGCAGGTTCTCCCTGCACACTCAAGTTTGCCAACTCTTTCTCTGGCTCCAGCTGAAGGTAACTTAAAGGACTCCCTGTCCAGTGCTTTATCTCTTCATCATCTCCCTTAGTATGGCATTAGAGACATGGGTGGGGAGGGACTAGAGGCGCTGCTCCCACAAGGACACAACTGTGCACCAGAGGCCAACAGGCAGAGAGGCTCCAAGTAGAGCAGGCTTGGGGAAGCAGAATGTAGCCAATCAGGCAGAGCAGATAGCAGAGTCAGGAGAAAACAAGAAGCAGGAATCTAGGGATATGTGTGTGGGGTTAAAAGAAGGGAGATAAGAGCTGCTGGTGGGGTGGAGGGCCAGTAGGCAACGACCAACAGACAACATGGTGAGTGAGCCACTCCCTGCCTAGTGCTGTCCCCTCACCCAGTGGCCACTCTCCAGCCTTCCTCTCTAAAGCAAAGGCTCACACCCTCAGGGCCCCTGCTGAGTCTTCGGGCCTTCCTGCAGGCAGTGAAGGAGTTAATCTTGCTGCCAGTAGTGGTGGCAGGAAGAGGAGCCAATGCTGGCTTACTCACACTCTCAGCGCCTTTGATCTCTGCGTCCCAGGGAGAGCCTGTTGGGGCAGGCCAGGGAGCGGCTCCCTGCTCCCGCTCCCACTCCCTGGGGTGGGTTGTGGCCAGGAGGCCCCTTAGAACCCACTGCCCCAAGGCAGGGGAGCCCCAGGAGGGCAGTGGAGGCCTTCTAGTGGAGCCCCATTTTGGTCAGGAAAGTAACTTCCCTTTTCCCTCTCTCACCTGGGAGCTGGGCTGGACCCTCTACCTCCACCCAGGCTCAGCCCAGACCCACCAAGCTAATTAACTGGAAATTAGCTCACCAGGCTAATTGACTGGAAATTCACAGGACTCCAGAATGGAACTGAAGAGACTGGGAGGTCACGGCCTCCATCCTCCCCACCACCACCTCCTCCCAGGAAGTCTACCCCACCTAGGCCACCCCAGGCAGATAGAAGCTCTCCAATCTTCAGAGCCCTCCAAGCAGAGGTGTAGGAGCAGTAGCAGGGGAAAAGGAAAGGGGAATCCAACAGGTCATCTCACAGTCCAGGGACATGGCTGGAGGGGTGCGGGAGATCAATCCAGTAGTCACTGAATTGGGACTCCTGGGTCCTCCAGCTACCAGGAACTCGGGTTTCCTATCCCCCAGAACAAGATCCTACATCCAGCCTGGCCTGGAAGAGCAGGAGGGGATGGCAGAGGCTTCCTTCTCTGTAGGGTTTCTTACTTCCCCACCCTTTGAAGGATTGGGGTAGGAACAGTGGAAAGTAATTACTGTGACATTGAAACACCCCAGCCCATTACAGCCCATAATTATAAAGTTGTAAAAGTGATCAAAGGGCCCAGAGAGTTGGCCAACAGGGGAAAACAAAGAGGACTTTCAGGCAGTGGGTTCCTGCAGCCAGAATTCTAGGTAGAAAAAGTAAGATCTGGGGACAGATGGCAGCCAGTCTGGAGCTATGCATGCCTCTTGCCCACCTGCACTCAAGGAAGTGGGAGGGAGGAAGAGAAAGAAGCACTTCTCCAGGGACTGGAATCTCTAAGACTGGAAGGTAGAGAGAGGGTGGGGAGGCCCTCAGGATGGGAAGAGTAGGATTTTACAAAGAAGATCCACAGACCTCCTTTTTTTGGAAGCTGCAAAGAGTCAGCCAGCCCACTAGGGGCAGCAAACAAAGCTGTACACTGGCCTCTGGCAACATGAGCTATTACAGAGAGAGCAGGGAGAGTGAGCTAAAATCCGGCCTCTGACTCTCTGGACTCACTAGTCAGCTGCTGCACTCCTCTGGGCCTTAATTTTTCCTCCCCAGGCCACAATGATAGTCTCTGTATATCTCCAGTTCATCAAAGATTTACTTAGCACCTACTGTGCCCAGGGCACCGAGCCTGGGAAGTCCAGGCCCTCCAGAACAGCTCATAACCTATTACAATGATGATAACAATATTCTAGGGTGCAAATGAATGGCATAGAACAATAGTTTCCAAATCTTTTTTTTTTCGAGCTCAGAACCCTTCCCTCTACTCCACCCCTCCCCAGACACACTAAATCTGACGCAAATCAGATAAAATATAAAACAGATAAAAATGAGGCAGCTCAGGTTGTAGTGGGGTTGGAGGTAGGAAGGCTCCTCGGCCTCCTCCTCCTCTGAGGCACCTCCATGAAGCCTAGGCTTAGCAGAGTGGAAAGCATTAGCAGAGACCCTAACTGCTTCTGCTCCTACTGGGCTAGCTGGGCTGGACCAGTCAGGAAAGAATCAATAGAAGAGGTAGGATTCATCAGGGCTTGAAAGCAAGGGGAGAAGTGATGTAACTTTTATCGAGATCCACTCTGCCCAGATGGTCTGGGTTTAAATTGTGACTCTGCTACCAACTATTAGCTGTAAGACTCTGGGCAAGTCACTTAACTACTCTGTGCCTCAGTTTTCCTTTTTGTAAACTGGGAATAAATAATAGGACCTACTTCATAGGATTGTTGTGAGGACTACATAAATTAATCCATTCAAAGTGCTTATAACACTGCTTGGCTTGCTGTCAATAAGTTGTTCATCTGTAAAAAGCTGAATTGGCATAAGTTGTGTGATAGATATATTTACAACAATGACAAAAAAAAAAAAGAGTAGCTGCTGAGGCTGCTCATGTACAACCAAACACTTCATGGGATTTGGTTCCTTGGTTTGGAGGATTAGGGTCATGGCTTTATGGGACATCCCAGTTAATCGACCTAATAACGTGTTTAGTGCTTCTTTTCTACCTCCTAGTTTGTTGCATAGTGCCTGTGGTCTTAAAAGCTTGCAAGTGACCATCCAAGGCACAAAAATTGGTCTCTATTCACTTGGAACAACAGAGGAAGAAGGAGAGTCAGGAATAGGAGGAGGATCTGGAATGTGTGCCTAATTGCCTCCATGAACAACTGCCTCCTTTGCCATGAGACCAGAAGAACTAGATGGTGCCTGGCTAACATTACTAAACATTTTGATCAAAGATGCTATAGAAGAATCCTGATTAAAAGAGGGGAAATGCAGAACAGAATTTCAAATTCTCATGGACTCTAGACTTTCTGGAGCCATGGAGGTTGTATGAACCCCACAAACTATTACCCTGAGATAACCTTTAAACCTTAAAACAAAAATATCCCCTGAAGTCTTCTTAAAACCAAACAGTAGTTTAGCTTGACTAGTAAAGAATGTCTGCCTTGAGCATTATGTTCTTTTAAGATCTATCTATATAGGATCAAATTGACAACAGCAACTCGAAAGATTAGATAGGAGCCTTAGGGTGCAGTGAGTTTATGTTAATGGGGAAGGAACAACTCAGAAAAGGAGGAAAGAATAGTTGTACAACTCAAAGGATGTAATCAATGTCCCTGAATCGTACATGTAGAAACATGTAGAAATTGGTGTTTGTTTTGCTGTGTATATTCTCAACAACAACAAAAATAAATAAAATAAACTATTTAAAAAAACAGTGCTTGGCACATAGTAAGTGTTCCTTAAATATTAGTTATCATATCAGCTGTTGCTATGTGCTTTGCATACATGATTTACTTACTCTTCACAACAACTCTACGAGACAGTTGCTAGCCCCACTTTTGAGTGGGGGAAACTGAGTTTCAGAGAGACTGAGTAACTTGCCTAGGGTCACACAGCTGATAAGTGGTGGAGGCAAGATTCCCACCCAGGACTTCAGCCTCCAGAGTGCCTGCTCTTAACCACCAGGTAGTGGTCTCCAAATAAGAGGCATGGCATGTAACCATCTGCTTGGCTCGGGAAACAGCTCCTTTCACCAGGCTCAAGGTCACTGCACTAGGGTAGACATGAGGTGATAAGGGCCTGGCTTATCACAAGGATGGCTGTGGAGTTGCTAACAAAGAAAGAGAAACAAATTTTAGTGACAAGATGGGGTGGTAAGGAGCCCTGGTGGCACAGTGGTTTAAGCACTCAGCTGCTAACCAAAAGGTCAGCGGTTCGAAACTACCAGTGGCTCCACAGGAAAAAGATGTGGCAGTGTGCTTCCGTAGAGATTGATGGCCTCGGAAACTCTATGGGGTCACTATGAGTTGGAATCAAGTCGACAGCAGTGGGTTTTTGGTTTAAATGGGGTGGGTGACAAGAGTAGAGGAATCTGAAAGAATCACGGTGTGGGTTGCAGGGAAGAGCAAGAGAGTTAACAAATGGGGAAAAAAAAACTCTTCTAGCGCAAGATGACAATGTCAATGATGATGACAACAGTGATAATTCCAATCATTTATTGAGAGATTGCTATGTGCTTGGCATAGGACTAAGAGCTTTCATTTGTATTGTCTCATTAAATTCTTGTAACTGTCTTAGGATGTAAGTCCCATTATGATTCCC